AGGGAACCTCCTCGGGGCGCTGTCCCTTTTTATAAGCCGACTGAGGACAGCATTTAAATGTCATTTAAGGCCGTCTGTCACCTGCTCTCACTCACCTTGTCTCCTCTCCGAGATGTTACTGTGCCGCCTCAGGTGAACACCAGGGAGGCTGGCCCAGTGCCGGCTGGAACTCAGAGACGAAGGGTCAGTGTGGCTCTGAGAGGAGCTGGACACACCCTGAGGGAACCTCCCCGGGGCGCTGTCCCTTTTTATAAGCTGACAGGACAGTTTAGAATCAAGTACCCAGCAGCTTGAGCACTTCAGGGGACTGTGGTGCCCAGCACTTGTGTATCAGATGGGCACGTGGCCAGCGGTGGGAAACAGAAAACCTGCCTTATCGTGGCTTAAACGAAGAGGGGTTTATTTTTCTCACATAACAGGAAGTCGGAAGGTAGATGGCTCCCCGGCAACAGGTTCAGCACCTCGGAGATGCCCCTGGCCTCGTGGGCCTAAGTGGCTGCTGCAGCTCCAGACATTACGTCTGTGTTCAGGCAGGAAAGACAAGAAAGTGGTGGAGGGGAGAAAAGTGGCTATTGTCTTCTTTCTATCCAGAAAGCCTCTAGCAGACTCATCTCTTCCATTGGCAGAGCTGTGGTTACTTCCGGTTGCCCGTATTAATGGCGCACATTGCCTCCTGGAAGAAAATGGTTGTCCTGTGAGAGGGGGGAAGGGAGGATGCGCTGGGCGGTTAGCAGTCTTTGTCTGCAGAGACAGCCTTCCCGTCGGCTAAGGACATTTGAACAATGGACCCCTTAGTAATGGTATTTAATCCTGATTCCCCCCTCCCCAAATTTGTGGTTTTCTCAGAATCTTGGTCCTGCAAACATTAGTGCCCTTGAATGTCACACTCACGCTTTTATTCACTGAACAGCATTTGCTAGGCACATGCCAGCAGTGGTAGGGGGCAGGGCCAGGAAGGTCAGCTGAGTCAGGGGAGGGGCAGCGCCGGCCGGTCCATGGGAGGTCTGGGTCCCAGCTCCACTCCGGCCTCTGGTTCTGGGGTCCTCAGAGCTGGCTTGCCTGAGCTGAAAGTAGGGGTTAGAATCCTGGCCGTCAAGGTCACCAAAGGTGCAGCCAGCCAAAGACTGTCCTGAGGATTCCAGCCCAGTGATGCCCGGCTGGTCTGCACCACGGACCCCACAGGAAGCTTTGGAAAAGGACAGGACTGCGGGCCCTCTGCAGCCGGGGGCATGGCGACGCCGTCCGCACTCTGAGCGTGAAGTCCGCCCAGAGACCAGAGGCCGCGGGTGTAGATTCTTGTCCCCCTTATTCTCCGCTGACGTGGGACCCACTCCCCGGGTTCCTGTGTGAGGTGTGCTTGCCACCTGCCAGTCTTGGGTCACATGGCCGAAATCCACACCAGCCAGCATTTATTTGTTTGTCCCAGTGAATTGTAATAATGACGACATCGGTCCCTGATTGAATTAGACTAATGAGGAGTGTTAATTGGGTGTTTGCCTTTCAGCAGCCTGAGTGGCTGTGGCCAGATTGCTCCTTCTCCGCCTCATTAGCCGCGAGCTCTTGGGGGCTGCCCCGCTACGGAGCGAGGTGCCATGTGGGACCAGTTTTTCCACCGTAACGTGTGCCCCTGGGGCCGGGGCAGGGTCCCTCTGCAACACCCGTCCTAGCTCCTGAGGCTGAAAGGCTGCAGGTTCCACAGGTTCCCGCCGTCACATGGTTCCCGGGGACTGAGAGCCCCTCCTCCCACACTGAGTACAGGCAGGAAGGACGCCCCCCTGCGGAGGCCACACTGGGCCAGCCGACCCAGGATCAGTGACCTTCAGTTCCCCCTTGGATTCCAGCTCAGGCCTGAGGGCCGGGCCAGGGGGAGGTCAGGAGGAGGAGACGCCTGCAGGAAGGGTGTTTAAGCAGAGGGAACAGAATATGCTGAGGGCCCCATTCCCAGGCTGCAGGGTCAGATCTGGGCACATCCTTTTTACTTTTAAAATCCTCACCAGGGGATTGTTTTTCCCCCCATTGCTTTTTAGAGAGAATGGAAGGGAGGGGTGAGAGAGAGAGAGAGGGAGAGAGAGAGAGAGAGAGAGAGAGAGATCGCTTGCCTCCTGCACGAGCTCTGACAGGGGCGGGGACCCAGCCTGCACCCGAGGTACGTGCCCTTGACTGGAACCGAACCCGGGACCCTTCAGTTCTCGGCATGATGCTCTATCTACTGAGCCAAACCGGCCAGGGCAACCAACTGCCCGTTTTTATCTCGTCCTGAAGTCAGACTTTCAAGCCTATTCCAATTCATTAGCTCGGCTCTGAGCTTGGAATTCTAATTTAATTTTGAAGCGTCTCATCTAATCCCATGCCTGTCTCTGAGCTGCTGTGCGTGTCACCCTCTTCCTGCCCGTCCCTGGGCAGTGAGAGCCATCGTCATTGCCAATGAGGGTCAGGGGCCAGGACCTGGCCTCATCACAGCCCAGCTGCCTGGGGCTGGACCGCAGGCTCCCAGCCCGGCAGCGCCCGGTCTACTGCCCATCTCTTCCACGGAGACGAATGAGGATGAGGGAGGGAGACGTGCCAATGAGCGGAACGACCAGCCCACCGCGCGTCTGCCTGCGGGCGTGGGTCTCGGCGCCCAGGGTTCCAGAAGGCTCTGCTGGGACCCTCCACAGAGCCAGGGCACCCCGCTGCTTTTGTGCAGCACACCTTGGCCTCCTGGCGTTTTCCAGGTTCAAGGTCACTGAAAAAGGAAGCTGCACGGGCCGTGGTGCCATGAGTTTTACTGCCTGGAAACACGCCGCCTGGAGGTTCGTGAACTGTGCTCATTAAGGCATTAAGGTTCACGGGGCATTACTGTCCCCCAATACTGCGGGGCAGTGGCTTCCTGGGTCCCACTAGTCCAGTGGTTTTCAACCTTGGCTGCACATTAGAATCACCTGGGAATCTTTTTAAAATCCTGATTTCTGGGCCTCATCCTCCGGAAATTCTGTTTCTTTGTTACTAATGTTGTGGCCCCACCCCATAACAAAGAAACAGAATTTCCGGCGGATGAGGCCCAGAAATCAGGATTTTAAAAAGATTCCCAGGTGATTCTAATGTGCAGCCAAGGTTGAGAACCAGGGCACTAGTCTCTTTTAGTGCCACCCAGCGGCCAGGGTGGGTTTTGCCAACTCAGTGCAGAGGGAGGCTCAGAGGCAGAGCCGGAGCTGGAGTAGAATTCAGGCTTCCCCCTTGTCCTGTATGGGCCCCAACAGACCCACCGCCCGGCAGAGCCGAAAGGGGTCCGATATCCCAGCAAACAGCAACCCGGTGCTCAGAGTAAACCCAGCTCCTTGGCCCGGCCTCCAGGCCCGTGATTTCACCCGGTGTTCTGTGTCCCGGGCCCTGATCTCAAGGAGGAAGCGGCCCTGGTGGAAGAGGCGGCAGAGCCTGTGGGTTGAGTCCTGAGACTTGAGAAAGCCC